CTAAAATTACGGCCGCTTTTCATATAACGGTAAATTTCAGAAATGCTTGAAACTGCAATATTTCGAAATTTAAGGACGCTAATTTACTCAAAATTGATACACCCGGCATACTTTCATACCACGCACACGTGGTGTTGAATCAAACTGAACATTTGAATGCACATTTACATGTCTGGCTGTAGCTGAGTGCACGAAGATGCTTGCCACAATTTGCTAATTTCCAGAGGTTCAGGGTTCAAATCCCATTACAGGCAGCATGGAATTTAAATATTTTTTTTTACTTAATTATGAAAAAGCATCCGTAAGCAATAGTTGACATGCACAGAGTTTTACGATTATATTAAGCAAAAGCCAGCAGTTTTGAAACAAGTTCACAGCAAAGAAACAAATGACTGAAATGTTACCTTGTATTTAATTTTTTTTCTTTCGTGAAACCTAGATTACTTATAAGCACCGTGCCGTACAAAATTATTGGCTCGGAGACTCTTTCATCTGATCACAATTTCTAATCAGATAATTTAGAAAAATTTTGAAAATGTAGCTTTTGAGCCAATTAGTAAAAAGCAAGTCTGGCAACTTCAGATAATTTCGTTGATTTTTTGCAATTATTTATTTTTTGTTGATAGTGTCTTCCACATACAAAAAAATGTCAAACATAGTTTGTATGGAAGAAACTCTCAGTAAAAACAATACCAAAAATCAACTAAATTTTTATGGGTTGCAAAACTTCATTTTCAAAATTTTTATAAAAAAGTCTGAATAGAAAGTTGCGAATTTGTATGCAAATTTATTGCATTTTTCCGAGTTTTGCACAAAGTTTAGAAATTTTATTTTTATGTTTTCTGATGTATTTAGTAGATGTAGATTTAAGGGTATGCACCTGGAATATCCGGACCCTTAATGGGGAAGGTGCCTCTGCCCGGCTGGTTGATGTCCTCGGGAAGACAAAGGCTGACATCACCGCCATCCAAGAAATGCGATGGACGGGGCAAGGTAAAGTAAGCGTGAAGCCTTGCGACGTCTACTACAGTTGCCACGTAAAGGAGCGCAAATTCGGTGTTGGATTCGTGGTAGGAGAGAGACTCCGTCGCCGAGTACTGGCGTTCACCCCGGTGGACGAACGTCTAGCCACAATCCGCATCAAAGCTAGATTCTTCAACATCTCGCTCATCTGCGCCCATGCCCCGACGGAAGAGAAGGATGAGGCGTCCAAGGATCTCTTCTATGAGCGCTTGGAACGTACATATGAGCGCTGCCCCCGACACGATGTCAAAATCGTGCTTGGCGATTTTAATGCCAAGGTGGGCAAGGAAGGGATCTTTGGCGCCACTGTCGGAAAATTCAGCCTCCACGACGAAACGTCCGATAACGGACTGAGGCTGATCGACTTCACCGGGGCCCGAAATATGGTAATATGTAGTACTAGGTTCCAGCATAAGAACATCCACCAAGCTACATGGCTGTCTCCAGATCGAAAAACGAGAAACCAAATCGATCATGTTGTGATAGACGGAAGGCATGCTTCAAGCGTTTTGGACGTACGTACACTCCGAGGGCCAAACATCGACTCGGACCACTATCTTGTTGTAGCCAAGATACGCACCCGCCTCTGTGCAGCAAAAAATGTGCGCCCAACAATGCAAGGAAAGCTTAACGTCGAAAAGCTGCAATCACAACAGACGGCCAATTTATTCGCCACTCGACTCACACACCTGCTCTCTGAGAGCACTCTTCAACAATCCGACGTACGCGAGCAGTGGAACCACATTTCCCGATCATTAAGTACCGCCGCCGAAGAAGTAGTTGGATTTCAGCGAGCCCGAAAGAACAACTGGTACGATGAGGAATGTCAAGAAGCCGCAGAGAAAAAAGATGCCGCCTACAGGGCCACGCTGCGATCGGGCGCAACGCGAGCCATGTGGGACCGTTATAGGGAACTGAAGAAGGAAGCGAGACGTATTTGCCGCAATAAGAAGAGAGAGGCCGAAATACGTGAGTGCGAAGAGCTTGAGATGCTGGCCGACAGGAAGAACGCCCGAAAATTCTACCAGAGGGTTAGGCGACTTACGGAAGGTTTCAAGACCGGGGCGAACTCCTGTAAGAACAACAATGGCGACCTAGTGACCGATGTCCAGAATATACTTAAATTGTGGAGGGAACCCTTTTATAACCTACTGAATGGTAGCAGCGCTGAAAGTAGTGAGGAAGACGAACCCGAGTCCCCAGTCGATGATGATGGAGTAGCTGTCCCACCGCCTGACTATGACGAGGTACGAATAGCGATTACGCGGCTGAAAAACAACAAAGCTGCTGGAGCTGACGGCCTGCCAGCCGAGCTATTCAAGTACGGCGGCGAGGAGCTGATGAGGTGCATGCATCAGCTCGTATGCAGAATATGGTCAGATGAACGCATGCCCGACGACTGGAATTTAAGTGTGCTCTGCCCAATCCACAAGAAAGGCGACCCCGCCATACGCGCCAACTACCGCGGAATTAGCCTTCTAAGCATAGGTTACAAGGTCTTATCGAGCGTATTGTGCGAAAGACTGAAGCCCACCGTCAACGAGCTGATTGGACCTTATCAGTGTGGCTTTAGGCCTGGAAAATCCACCATAGATCAGGTATTCACAATACGCCAAATCTTGGAAAAGACCCGCGAGAATAGGATCGACACACACCATCTATTTGTCGATTTCAAAGCCGCTTTCGACAGCACGAAGAGAAGTTGCCTTTATGCCGCGATGTCTGAATTTGGTATCCCCGCGAAACTAATACGGCTGTGTAAAATGACGTTGAGCAATACCACCAGCTCCGTCAGAATAGGGAAGGACCTCTCCGAGCCGTTTGATACCAAACGAGGTTTCAGACAAGGGGACCCCCTTTCGTGTGATTTCTTTAATCTTATGTTGGAGAAGATAATAAGAGCCGCAGAACTGAACCGCTCAGGCACAATACTTTATAAGAGCGTACAATTGCTGGCGTATGCCGACGACATCGATATTATCGGTAAAAACAAGGGCTACGTCTGTTCTGCCTTCTCGGGATTGGATAGAGAAGCAAAGCGAATGGGTCTGGTGGTGAACGAGGACAAAACGAAGTATCTCCTGTCAGCACACAAACAGTCAGAGCATACGCGTCTTGGCACCCACGTCACTGTTGACAGTTACAAGTTTGAAAAAGTAGA